CGATGCGACATTGCAACATGTATATAAATTATATATTATAAATTATGTATTATGTATTATATTATTTCGTTTTAAACGAAACTTTTTTGTTTATGCTTACAGAATGTGTCACTAGTATAAAAAAGAATATTTAAAAAAACTGATTTCTACAGTACAACCTCTCTCCCAAAACATTTTTCTCACTACGCAACTGCATTTAGATATATTTTAACGTGTTCATTTTAATTATACATATTTCAATGTATATTATTAAACACACATATTACTTATACGTGAGTAATATGCGTGTGTATAATGTACATTAAAATATAAATAATGCACATTAAAGTATATATAAGGATCGTTGCTTTTCAGAATAAACGGAGGAGTACTTTTCCTTTGAATGTAACTCGATGCATATGTTTTAATTGATATCTGTATCTTTATAGCTCAATTATTGGCCGTCGTAAATTTAAGTTATGTTTACTTTTTTGCTAAAAATTAATATTTATAATATTTAGATAATAATGATATGATTCTGTCGTGTGTACACATTAGACTGCGTTTGGAAATGTTATCTGATCTCCATATATCGTTTTATTTTTGTTACTCACTCAGTGTTAAACAATATACGGGGACACTCGGGTAACGTTTCCGAACACAGCCCTAAAAGTTAACGAGGATTAAAATCTCCGTAATGAAGCGGTGTTTATTAAAAATTTAATTAACTTTCCTCCATTAAGTGTCGTAAACAACTTTGTATTTAGTTCTAATAATCGCTGCCACATAAAATAGACAATGTATTAGTTTGGTCATTAGAATAATTGCGGATTTAATACAAATAACTAAATTAACATTTCTGTACTAAACTTGCATTACGTACATAAAACAGTTTGTCACTAAATTACGTTTTATGGAGTATATTATCTAAATTTTGTTATATAGAGGATAAGAAAATAATCTCGTAAATGACAAAATATTATATATTGCAAAGCGACCACACTTGCTTATATTTATAATATTATATCTAATTGTCCTCTGTTACTTTATTTTTTCAGTATAGGCGTTACTGTGGTTGTTCTCAATGTTCACTTCCGTTCACCACAAACACACAAAATGGCCCCTTGGGTGAAAAGAGTTTTCATACACATTCTTCCACGACTATTAGTCATGAGGAGGCCTCAATATAAATTTGACACTAGCAGGTTAGTATTACGTATATGTATATAATTGCAACATGTTACTCAAAAATAGAAATTTCTTTCTTTATTCCTATTTTCTTAACTATCAGCGCTATAAGATACAAAATTTTCTTTTATTTTATTTTTAATTATCGGAAAAAATTTTAATTTCAAACTTTTTTATTGATGTATTTAGTACTAAAAATTAGAAGAAAATGTAGAAAGAGAAAGAGTATTAAATGTTCGTAAAATCCTAGTAAATCGTTACTTCTACATCTTTTTTGCGCTAGCGATAACAATCACAGTCAGGAATTTTATTACGCGAGATTGCGCCGAATAATTGTTATACCGAATGTATAACAATAATGTTATACATACTTAATGCAACTTATATTCTAGTGATCGCACCGCTAGCTAGTCCGCCGTTTTCCAGAACGTGGCACCCGCATTAAAATTCCACGCCCGATTGTCTATGTTTGCAGGTACACTTCCGGCAGAGTGCTAATGAGGACCGTCAGAGGAAGGGAGAAGACTTGCTATTATCCTTACCACACGCCGACTCAGGAAGACAGTGAAGAACATCTTACACCCAAGAGATTCCACAGCCGTCCTCCATCAAAGGAAGATCTCTCGCCTTCCAGGTATTTACAACAATACGAGAATACTTCTATTAATGAGCTTTATAAAGACAATAAATATATCTCTAATTAAATCGAATTCTTATATAATTCGAGTAAGGATACAGAGGAAGATGAAAGTTCGAGAATGTAAACATGTATGTTCGACAACGGCACGAC